CCCTTCCTCCCTCCGTCACCTCAGCGGGCAGCGCAACAAGCCCCGCCCCTTCCGGCAGCGCCGCGCAGGCGCCGGGGGGCCCGGTTGCTGCTGCGCCCCCCCGCGGTTGCTGCGGGGAACGTGGCACCCGCGCCCGCCCCGGCTGGAGGTGCAGAGAAAAGCACGTTAAACCCGAGACACGACTCGTGAGTGAGCTGTAAAAGGCTTTGGTGGGAGCTTATCTGTAGTTTTAGGGAAGGAAAAGAAGGGTCCTTGAAGAAGGAGCCGTTCAGCTGAGCCTGGGGGTGCTGCTGGAACCGGTTCTGCTGCAGAGATGCAGGGGAGAAGAGACAGAACTCGGCCAGAGGTTCCTGTGAGAAGACTCAAGGATGAAGCAAACGACCCCCAGGAGACCCTGATGACCTTAACACCCAAGCGATAATGGGCGGGCACTTATGTAAATGATGTCTCGGGAAACTAATGAATAGGTAAACTGTTTCTTAGAAACCTTACACATAATGAGGTGTATCTCTCACCCCCAAGGCATGCACCTTTCTGGAGGAGCCATCCCTGTGCATCTGAATAAAGATACTGACTGAACAGCACTTGGACTGTGGGGTGAACTTTGTTTCAGGTTAAAGCCACGAAACTGATATTAAATACTTGTGATAAGCACACACAAATATTACAGCTGTGCTGCAACACCATCACAAAACCTCCCTCTGTGATAAGAGTTTTGCTCCATGAAAAACTCCCTCCTTTCCCCTGTCCAGTTTTACATCATAAAACCGTCAAGAACTAGTCAAAATTGGTCTGAACTCTATAAAATTTTAATGACTGTGCTCCTGTTAACTAAATACCTGAAACAGAAAAATAGCAAGTACTACATATCCTCTTTTTTAAACAATAAATAAGCTTTTTTTTTTTAAACCAGAATTAAATATAAACTTTACACATCCAAAATACCATATACAACCTATTTCAAAAAGGACTCGATTACAGAAACATAGTAAAACTGTAGTATGAGCTGCACGGAAGCTTTCCTATACAAAGGGTTGCAGCTTTCTGTTCAAGTTCCACATTTCACTTACTGATTTTCCTACTTGGAGTGATTTTCCTACTTGGAGTAAGAGGCCTGGCTCCACTGACTGGATGGTCAGACAACATATTCTGCTGGAATCAAAGCATCAGGTTTGGTGGTGTCAGCAAATTAAATTACCTTTTCCAAGACAAGTGTGAACCTTCCCAAGACACTGTGTTGAACTAAAACTTGCATTGAACTAATTTTCTCTTCTCAGAAAGGCTGGTGTGATAAGGCTGTAGTAAGATTTTAAACTTACCCAACTGAAAACATTTTGTATCATCCATCACCTTCAAAAAGAACAAGTCTGTCGCACCAAGACCACAACAGCAGAAATCAACAATATATACAAAGGAAGTGTTACCAGTTGTCTATAATGCAGAAAACAAAAAGAGACTTCCATAGAGAGGATTGCTTTGTTCTCAAAACTTCACTTAGGAACTCAGATTAACATTCAGTTGCTCTGTAGCATTAGTAAAGTTCACTAATGAAAAACTTCCGCTGCACGTCGTAAATAAACCAACGTGTCCAACGTGGCCGGCCCCTGCTCAGGTGGTGTTCAGCTGGGTCTGCCTTTCTGACTCAGCTTTCCTCTCCTGCCGGTGGTTCACTGCAGCCCAGAAGGTTATTTTTTTCAGCACCTGCTGCAGAAGTTTGGATGGCAAACATGGGATTTGATTCTTTAGGAGAGCTGCATTTTTACCGATGCAGTCGAGAGACAACCTGGAGAGAAAAAAAGAGAAATATTTAAGTAAATGGTCTATAACCTACAGACCTGTGTGTAAAAACAGTCCCACATTAATTTACACCAGATTATTTGTGCCAAGAACCTCAACTCACCTGAGAAGCGAGTAAGGTTGAGTCTGGAATATCAACAAATCACTGCAGTGACCCTGAGCAGCAGAAGAATAGAACTGTTAAAATGACAAACAGCTCAGCTCAGAAATACTGCTATTTTCTTGATTAAATTAATATTTGCTATCATATGCATAATTTTAAACAGGCAATACTTGTATAATTATTTATGAAGAATGTGACTAACAAATTCCTTTTTATGAGCCTAAATAGTAAAAACCTTTCCCAGATTCTTTCCAAGCACACCCAAGGTCACATCTCGTAACAAAATGTTATGAATGAACCCAACAATATCAGCAAATTGTATAATTGTATATAAATTTAAATTATTATAGTGCTAAGATTTGGTTATTCAGTTTACTGACTGTGTCCATGAAATGCAAGTCATCTTTGCTTCCACCAAACACCATCACTTCTCCTTCTTTCCCAAGGCAGGCTGTATGCCACCATCTAGGAATAAAATCACAAATGGAGTTAGTGACAGAGTCAGAACAAGCAGTCTGTGTTATCAGAAAACAAATCTAAATGTTGTTAAAGGTTTCAGAGAAACAGTGAGTTTACTTGCATATTAATCTCTTCACTCACAAAGACCCTCCTCCATTCTCCATACTCAAGTTTCTTTCAAATAGCTTACTATAAAGATGCAAGTTACTTTTAAATTGGCTCTTCATTTGCACAGAGTCTACTGGGATTTTAATATCTCTGAGCTCCCTGGGTTTTTCTCAAATATTACTGAGAAATGAGTCAATTGATTCTTAATGTCCATGGGCAGGAGAGGCAGCCAGGCATGCACAGAGCATGGTAACATCACCCTTGCTTCTTAGGAAACCAAGACAAAGACATTGCTCTGAAAGTATTCAGAGGTAAAAACAATACCTTTAAAATATATCATTTATTCCTTTAAAAGTATAAAAGGAGAGAGCAATGTGACTACCCATCTCATGAGAATCTTGTGGAATGTTTACAGCTCATACAGACCAATAGGGTTTTGTCATTATTTGACTTTTCTGTACTCTCATCGTCTGTACTTTGTCTTATTCATCACTACTTCCAACAAAATGTTACAGTGGGAAATTTTTAGAAAACAAAACAACTATACAAAACAAGCTTTTGTCAAGAAGTGCTTTTACTTTTTCTTCTTAAATTTTCTGCTATTTCTTTAATTCGTAACTACAAGTCTAATGGCTGTAAAACTGTGGGGTTGTCAGTACTGTAATTCCTGAGCACTAGGATGAGAGCTTCAGGACACAAGTTATCCTGTTTTAGTTTTATCTTCCCCCAAAGGTTCCTGGGGATCATTTTCTGTGTGTCAATTACATCACACCCACAAGCACCTTGTGTGTTGTGCATGTAAGGGCACATGGTAATAAAAAAGCCCAACCCCAAGCAGAACAAAACCTGACTTGTAAAATCTTGCTTTAACAAAGATTCTGCTACTTCAGCAGCTACACCGTGTTGGATTTCCATTTCATTATCAGCAGATCAACACCAGTAAGTTTTCTATGGGTGTATTGCCACTGAAGTACCACAAGATGATGGTCACCACACAGCTCTGGCCCTTTCAGTCTACTTCACCAAAATAATACACACCACTGGAACTTTCATGCAGAGTAAACGCTCTCACTTTCTTACTCCATTCACATCAGTAATTATTCACCGTTCTCCTCAGGCTGAACTGTATCCCACCTGTTCTCCTCCTCATACCTGGAGATAGATCTGTCTCTGCCTTATCTGCATAAATTCTGGCCTGGACTTCATCACCGAAGAACACTGGGAAGCCTTTCCTGCCTTCACCTTGGTGACATCCTAGCTTGCAACCCGAGGCCTTTTTTTCTACAGACTGACAGAGTTTATGTCCTCACAGCTGCTCTAACTTAGCACCTAAATATTCTAATAAGGCACGTTATTTACATGATACAGAGGCTGACTTGATGTAACCTTTTTATACAGCTTTTCTAACTAGAATAACAGTTACATGGTAATGGAAACACTGAGAATCTAGTAGTTAAACATACAATTTGTTCTCTATTTTAACCTGCCATGCAAAACATTAGCTGAAGTACAACTGATGGTCAGAACAAGTATTTTTTACCAATATAGTGTCACAGATCTGCCAACTAGAAGAAATTTTTTAGAAGTTACTAAAAATGAAGGTTGAAGGCAAGTATTCTTTATAGAATTTAAGGAGGGAATAAATTTTGCAGAAGCATCATGAAAACACACTAATGCATGTGTGATATACTGTGTATTATACAATAATATAAATATATAAAAGTACATACGATCCTGTGTAAGAACAGGGATACAATTATGGTACAATTAAGTACTTCACATGCAAGCTAATTCACTATATAGGCAGGCTTTTGACATGGCTCCTTTTATCCATGTTTCCAGGACTTTCCAAAAAAGGTTGTGGAAGAATTTATTTATTTATTTATTTTTAAAATGGGGGAGGCCATTTACTTCAGTGAAGAATTAGGTCACTGAAAGGCACCTGTCCTCAGCCTACAAACTGCAAACCAAGATCTTCAGATGGTGGAGAACTACAGGCCATGCCTGGCCTTGGGGGAGCTCTGACTTGCCAGCATGAGACCCAACAGCTCTGTTCTCCCAGCATGGTCTGTGCAGCAGAGTCCCCAGCACTTTTAGCAGTGTCAGCCTCAGGAACCCTCTTTGCTACTCCTGCTGTAGCAGGAGGGTGGCTTGTTCAACAGCCTCTCTAATGGCACAGCCAAGTGTCACTGCCATAGGATGGGATCTGCCCTTGAACTGCCTGGAAGCCCCTTGGGGCTCAGGAGTCCCAGGTTCCCAAGAGTCCCAGGTTCCCAACATCCACCACTGTTATTCCAGCTTAACTGCAGAGGAAAGGCTGAGCTGCTGCTCCCTGGGCTGCTGCCTGCAGAAAGAGTATGTGCTTGTCCCCTCCTCATCCTTTTTCATGATGCAGCAGTAAAAATAATCAGAGAGGGTGAGGCAGGCCCTTTCAGCAGTTCACTTTCATGAGACCATCCATGTAAAGAACCGAACACAAAGAGAGATGTGACCCTTGAATGCTAACAATGTGCTTTGTTGTTTAAGGCAGTTGTGAGTCCCTTCCTGTAACAGTTTGCTGATCAGAAAAAGACAAAATAGTCTATGAAGCTATGGGACAATTTATTTGGGCTTGAAAGAGTTTGAAACACAAGCAAGCAGAAAACTTGGTCTAACAGGGCCGTTATATTTAAAAGACACCCTAGAATAAGATAAAACAGGAAGAAAATTAATTGAGGTAAAGAGATTTCAGTAACAGAAAACAGAACATAAGGCAGTAACACAATGAATGAAATGCCAGACCATTCCTGTAAGCCGTGCTAACACTGTGCTGAGAGTACCTGGGTGAATGTATACAATTAATCCCATGAAAAACTGAATATTTACTAAGTACAGCAAATCAGTTCCACAGTATTTACGTTATAAATAGAGAGAATGCTTCAAACACTGTCTTAAAAAAAAAAGTCTGTGCTCTGATCCATCACAAACACCTGTTTTCAGTGTCAGATTCTGAACAACCTCCAGGTGCAGGACATGAAACTTCCTTTCTGTAGTCAGAAAGAATCAATGTTTTTCTGTAGTCTTAAATTAGGAAAGGAAGGGGAACAAAGTCTGGAAGAGACAGTACTGCTACCAGTAGGAACAACACGCACCACACATTCTAGAGTTAGGACATTTTTGGCTGGCAATGAAGCCCTTAAAATAACAAAACTGCACAGACATTTACTGGGCTGCTTAGTAATAAATCCAGTTTTTCAAGACTAATCACAATTAGCTGCTTCTGCTCAGGGAAGAAAAAACAACCAAGCAAACCAAGGTATTTCTTAACACTTTTGCATCCTGAAAGGTGCACCAACATTTTCATGGTTGTCTCTCCCATGTTTCTAATAATCAACTTTTATTATTCTCACAGGTTTACCAATTTCTCAAAAGTTAACTGATAGGCAATTTCTTATATAAAAATAATTTGGCTATAGAACATTAGGTTAGTTGGACACCCAGATCCTTCATCACAAAAAAACCCCACTTTTAAGGCAAGTAAGGATCAACTATCACAAATACAGACAGTAATAATGCTGCATCAGGTGTGAAGAACCCAAGTTAGTAAAGTATTCAATCATACTGCATTAATTTTCTACAATATTCTTATAAAGTAGCTTAAAAAAATACTGTTCAATAATTTAAAATTACTTCATTTTTAAATATGCCTACATTTCAGCAAGCATTATCTATTTTTGTATACCTAGGCCTACTCTTAGGCAAATGGGTAAGTTGTTTCCATCCATTTGTTGTAGTGCTGTGAATCCAGCCATCACCTACAAATAAGCACATACATTAGTACTTGTTATTGGGACAAAATGTTACCATTTTTATATATCTAGACTAAAATGCTGTGTTCTAAGAGGACATTCTATTAAGATCATATCATCACTACATTAACTTAAACCTTTTCTGGTTTTTGCTAATTTAACTTAACCATTCATTGACAGAAAGCTTAACTGCATAGAAATCTGCAACGAAAATACACTTACTCTTTCCTTTTAGATAAACTGAGAAAACAGGTCAATGTCCCTCTAAAAATCACCCCCTTCCCAGTAGGACATATCTGTGACACTTAAAGCTGTTTTCACTAATTTCAATTATTTTTTTCCATGAAAAGAAGTTGCCTTTTCTAGAAAAGGAACTCTGTATAAGACCATACTACTTCCTAATTAACATTTTGTAGCTGTAAGTTGTTATTAATCCAAACTATATTATGTTGACATTATTATTTGTACCTTCTTACTGCAGCTAAGAAACCAGAAGTCATTCCTTGTTAGCATCAGTGTCTAAGACTTCTGCCTTTATTTTCTAGATGACAGTTTGATGAAAGACTTACTACTTTATCTTCTCACTATACTACACAATGTTTCTATAAAAATAGCAAAATAGCTAAAGAAATAGTTGAGCACCACAAAGATTCTGTAACATGATTTGGGTCTAAGTAGTTTGAGAAAGACAACAAATGTACAGACTACAGGACGTTAGTACTGAAGTGTACAGCAGACATATATTATTTAAATTACTTACTTAAAGGACCATTATCAGAGCTTAGTCCACCAAAAAGAAAAAGTCTGTCATCTCCTATTGGAGTCAATGTGTGCCAGGATCGATCTTTTGGTTTCTCTCCACTGATGTTAATTCTTGGTAAAAAACAACAACAACAAAAACAAAATGTAAAGGAATGCTGAAAATTAACCTGCCAGAAAAATTAGTCAGTTCAGTTTGTCCTAGAAGCAGCTTGCCTATTTTCCCAGTGAAAAGGCTGCACTTATGCAATCTCAGTTAAGTTTGGAGAAGAGCAGAGTTCAAATCTAAACCAAGTAATTTCTTGTAGCTACTATTCCTGAACCATCAGTTGCGTAAATACCAAATGTAAGGACAAAAACATTGTTTGTTTTCTTAAGATCAGTAAAGCCACTCCTAGAGGTACAACTGAAGGCACTTAGGACAGAAAAGAAAGGATTATATATTCAAATAAACTGTACAGTACATAGAAGTAAACAGACTCAGTTATTTGAGATAAAATGTAATGAATCCTATGAGGTTAGACTCTCCACTCCTAGGAAAATTATCCTGAGTGATACAAGGAGTGTGCCTTTACCTTTTATCCAAAAGCTACTAACTCTTCAACCACTATGGGTTTTAAGGCAAAGCTGGGTCACCCAAACTTTGAAACTTTAGTAAAAAGTGGGATTCCCAACTACAAAGCAGATGTAGGTTCTAAGAATGTGGTCAGATACGAGTTTTTCCAGATTTATCTACAGATTTCACTTTAGCTGCACAACTAGGTATGCTTGAGGTGAGAATCTGACAGGAAAGAACCTGAAGGTAAGGGTTATCTACAGTGGGTGGCCTGAATTCACATCATCAGGTTAGGTACTCGGGTGCACAGCATTCCCAGGAGGAGTCAGCAGAGGAGTAAGTACCTCCAGAGGGCATCAGCCCACCTAGTTCCTTGGTACCAAGAAAATTGGCAACTTCTGTTGTACAGTAGCTAAAGTTAGACACAAAGACTCTAGGCTGCCACATACTCAGGATGTCCTCATATTGGAAAACGCAGGTGCAAACATCTGTCAGCTCTCTTGTGGGGTCAGAATCTTAATTGGAGATTGCCCAGAGCAGGTAAGAAAGACATGTTCAAGCCAGGTAAACCACCACTCAAAGAATCACTACCTTTTTTTCCCCTCCCCTTTGCTCAAGTGAGATGTGTGCAACGTAGACACGTGTGCTCCATGTACAAGAATAGTGCAGACAGACATCTAGATTTCCTTTATCATCAATAAGGAGAAACAGTTCTTTGCAAAGCACAACTCATGACTGATTTAAGTTGCCCAGGAAGTGCCTGTTTCTCTTCACTGAGCACAGAGGAAGCCTGAGTGAAGGTGAAGCCTGACTGAAGGGTAAGCAACAGGGCACCTGCAGTTTTCAAAGGAACTTCACTCCTAGTGACTGCTGAGCAGTGCTCCATCTGGAAGCAGAGACTGAGGAATCATGGCTAATTAAATACTGACTGCAAAACTGTCTGACTAAATTTGGCACTGAAGTTGAAGCCAGGTCGCAATGTTTGAGTGCCTGCTCCGCACAACTCTTGTACGAGATGCTTCTAAAATTGGCAAGAGAGGCAGCTGTGCTGAGATGCAACAGGCTTTGGTGTTTAGAAAAATACATACCAGGTACTGAGGGGTGATATGGCATCAGTCTCTCACCCTACTGATACAAGAAACTAATCACAGTAACAGAAATAACATAATATTGAACATTTTGAATAACAGGCCAGTGGACCTCAAGGAAGGCTAACTTCTGGGTAGTGGCAAGTCAAATGAAAACTGCAATCTCGTGCTGCAAGATATTCCTGGATTAGAAGGTTATTATTATGCAGTTCCTTAAGAAACCTGCATAAAATTGAATAAGAAAGGAATTGACAGGACTGGTTAGTGAAAAACCCATGTTCTGTTTATCTACTCTGCTTTAGCTTACAATGTTTGTGTGTGGAATCGTACACTTTTGGGACCAAGTTCTTTATACCAGAGATGATCTCTACAAATGCCCAATTTCTACTGCAGCCATTGCTGTGATTTTATGAATCACAGAAATAATTTTCCAAGCAATTTGTGCAAAGGCAAACTGTAAACGAGAGTAAAAACATAAATACTAACTTGATACTCTCCTGAAAGATACACTGATTTTCCCTCCTTTTGCAATTAGGAGATGGAATCACACTATGAACACTTTACCTCTGAGATGCCACCACAGCAGCAGACACCCTGCAAGACAGTTTTTTCCTAGTCTGTTAAAACTTTTTTTTTAACATCTCTTAAATCTCTTTTTACAGTCTCTCAAAGACTCTTTGCAGAGGTGCTACAGGATGGCTGGATAGTAGACTCCTAAACTGGCAATGATCAGACTTTATATTAAATCAAAGTAAAGTCTTTTCAACTATTCTTGCATCACAACATAAAGATAATTAAGTATTGGAACAATCTTCAGTTTTTAGGAACAGCTGCATCCAGTGTTACCATCTTTAGCCTAATGATGTGTGTATTTGTAAAATCAGCCTGTTCAGATCAAAAACAAAAAAACACTTTTTAAGAACGTCAGCATTAGCTTTCAAATGCCAAACAAAAGGGAACCCTGGCTGATGAGGACAGACAATTTTGACTCTGAAATCCCTCCTTCAGGGCCTGAAATCCCTCCCACTGACTGGGCACTCAACTGTTGACATCTCCTTTTTTAAGGCAATAAAAAGCAAACCAAACAGCAGCTGCTCATGCACCACCACCAAAAGCAAGCAGCTAAAGCAATAGCCTGAATAAAGCACCCACTCAGTAGTAAAGTTCACAGTCTAAGAGGGGCAATGCTATAATTTAGGCAGAACATTGCTAATTTTAAAACAGCTCCCAAAGAAAACAGGGAAATCTGATCAGTTAATCATAGGTGCTAATTAAAGACACCCTGAAAGAGAAGTTTTTTTGAAAGGACACTGTGGGACTTTTCTTTGCCTTGCTGCCACGAGCAGCAAGAAGGAATGGATGGAGGACTGTGTCTGCCCCTGGCTTTGCCCTCAGCTCAGAGGAACACACTTGGTGCAGGGGTGATTAAAAATGCACATCAGAGGTGCATGAAACATGTGAAGCCCTAGGGCAGGATCAATACTGACACACGCTCAGGAAAGGTGGATTTCATGGCCTTTTATGAAATTACTCTTAGGTTAGTGGTTATCACCCACTAGCTACTGGTTATCTCCTGGTTTCTCTGTCAGCTAACATCACATCCACTGATTCTACACACATAGCAGGCAGTATCATACATGCTATATGCAAACAAATCTTAGGAGACACTATTATCTGATGTAGTTTAAAATTGAAACATTTAGGTCATGCTTTTACGTGATTTTTTTCTTTTTAATAGTTAAGATACTTATTCTTTGGGGAGAAGATCTTTCCCCAATCTGTACCCAAATGAGGCAAACATAGACAGTAAAACCAGTACTCAAAAAGACATCAAAACTAAAATCCCATATGGATGAATGTATCCATCTTGAAAATGAGGGTGTTAAATCACTGCACACTGTGCTTAATATAGCATCATCAAGGCTTTGGTGCAGAACTGAAAAAGCTTAGTAACCACCATCAAATTAAATTAAATTGAAACCACAACCTAACAGCTGTTAAGATCATCCCCAAACTCCCATTCTCCTCTTGGAAAAGCTACAAAATTAGCACTAGAACTATTTAACAATATGTTTCAATCTGCTACATTCAACTTTGTGTTATAAACTTACCTCCCAGACCAAGTCCAAGTGTCTAAATCCAGGCAGTGCAAATCATTCATTCTAGTTTGCTAAAACAAATAAATAAAATCCCAGTTGGGTTATATTCAGCAAACAAGGAGCAAAGCATTTCAGCCAGGCCTTTGCAGGACAGAATATTCCAAGTAACAGTACTTTGCAGAAAACTGTACCCATGTGCCTTAAGATAACTCTGTATTATGTGGCAGATGAAAAGCATTTCTTCTCACAAAACCCATGGAACTCTCAGGAAACTGTCAGGAGTATTTCCAGTAATGCAGTAGCAGTTTGGGGGCAATTTTAGCTTTTAAGAGTAGTTTAATGGTGTGATATGCAGTTCCTGCAAATGTGTTCAGTTTTCATCCATTGAACTTGTGGTAGGCAGCTGCAGAAGGTCTAATATTCTACATATAGTTTCCTCTCATTGTTTTAATTTTGCATTCTGATCAGAACTATGCATCCTGCTGCCTCCTCACTTAGTCCTGGAGATCTCCTAGCAGGTACTGCACTCAGTACATGACACCTCACAAGGAGTTCATCACATCTGTGGTTTCCTCCTTTCACAAAGTTACTGATGGCAACAACAAGGCTTTGCAACCCTTTTGCATTTGCCATAAAAATAACATGTCTCAATAAGAACAATGAGAAATCAATACTCTTGCATATCTGCCTGTGTTTTGAGATGAAGAAAGTAACTGCCTTAGAAATATAAAGGGGTGGGGACAAAGTAAGAACCTCTTTACTTTAGGTTGTAGCCATATTTTCCACGGCTTGCAGTGCACTTGAGGGGTATTTCTGATTCCCCCGAGTGCTACAAAACAGCATCTGAGAAGTAGGGAAATATATCTTGCCTTACCTTACAATTCCTTTTCTCCTAGGGCAGTCCATAGATCTATTAGAATAAGCCTTTCTCCAGCTTGCAGATCCTCTGAGGCAGAAACTAGACTTGTCATTTAAGTCAGAATGGGAGTAGTTTTACCCCTGAGAACTCAGCCAGTTAGTGAACTTGAGAGACTTCCAAAGCTGTCCACCAGAGCCTCTCAGCGTATTTCAGGAAACAGCAAGTTTTTCAGGATAGCTACAGGCCTCCTCTGATCAAGTACATGCTAGAGCCCTTTCTGTCCTAGGGGAGAGAATGTTAACTGGCATTTTGGAATGCCTGCAGAGATGCCAACTAACTAAAGAAAAGCAGGATGTGAGGATTTTTGTGCACTGTCTGAGAAATTTCATCCCTCCAAGAGGGTGACTGTAAAACAAAGTGTGGTCCAGCTGGGACCCAATGGAACAGATCTGTCTTCCGTGACAAGTCTACTCAGTTTCCTGCTCCTTCAGGTGGCTTTGAAGGAGACAAGGAACAAATTCCACAAGCAAAAAGCAAAATGCAATTAGTATCTTCTGCTGTAGCTGTACACAGCTAGGCACACTTGGGGGTGGGGAAATGGCTGCATCCTGGCCTCTAGAACTGAAAAGATTTAATCATCTTGGAATAACACAGTTTGATATGGAGGACATCTAGCAAAGAAAGGGAAGAAAGTTGCTGTTATGTTGGAAACAGAGGCTTCAAGAAGATCCTGTTCAAGACCTCCTCGCTGACTTTGCTTTCCTAGGAATTAGGCAGAAGATGGAGTAGTTTTCAGTTTCCTGGTCCCTGGGAAATCAATGTGTTATAACCTTTACATTCTCATGATTCAGTAGATTGACAAATGCATAATTACATCAACCTCCTTTTGAATTCAAAACATGGCATCAGTTGGACATTTATGACCAAGATTCATCCCTTTCACACAGCTTTAACAAATGAAAATGCCTTTCTACCCAACCCTTGTTTGGGAAACTGCAAAGCACAGGTTCCACTACTGTCACTTGCTATGTGCAAAGTTTTCTTGTAGCTTCTCATGTATTTCTACATGCTGCCTACTATTTTTAAGCATTTATCTGACAACCCTAAGATGATTCTTAATTGGCTTAAAAGCATCAAGCCTCCTAAGAGGGTTTGCATTTCCCTTCAACTCCTTAGACATTCTACTTATCTGTGGCATGTTCATTCATTTGCAGCTCAGTAAACATTAACCAGGCTCTGCTTTGTCTCAGGATTAGCCTTCTAGCATGATGAGAGGCATTAAGGGTGACTTATTTACAGCTCACTGCTGTTACACTAAACTCTGCATTCTGAGATTTACACTCAAACAGCCACTACAGCTCAAACCCCTGTAAGAGAAGGAATGCAACTCAATACATCTTCTGATCTTCAGTGACAGAAAGGATAAAAGGAAATATAAACATGCATACATTAAGGCATCAAATGTCTGAAGAGCTGCTGGGAAGACTATTATTTCATCATTCTCTATATAAAAACTTCCCATTTAAACCAAACATAAGACTTGCATCAACTTCTGGACAATCTCTCCTTCCTTCCCACTTTCTCCCATTTCTGTTTTTTTCAGAGGCTTACCTGGAGGAACAGAGTCCACATAACACTTCTGAGCCTGTTTTCATATGATTCCTGGTACAATTGACTTTGATCATCATCACCATCATCATCTTCTTTTACCAGTTCTAGCTCCAAGTTTGGAAAAAGATGCCCTTTCCTCCCAGAAAGATGAATAGGAGAAGCCTCATGACACTTCCTGGCCCTTTCTGGTTCCTTGTAGAGCCTTTTCCCTGGGAAGATTTGTATTATGGTGAACTAGAAGGAGAAGGAGGAGCAGAGCAACCCCGTATTTGCTCCTTAATTTATGGAGAAGAGGAGGACTTCATCCTTTGTCAGGAAATGTAGTGTTTTTCTGGTATCTTTAGATTTCCTTTCCTGTTTCCTGACTTATATTAATTCCTCAAGCCTCACGAAATGTTCCCTAACCTCTCTAAGATTCTTTCCATTTATTTCTAGGATAGAAAGTGAATCAATAATAACCACTTAGGTGAAAATTACACTTGCTGCTCTCCTACAAAATGAAATAGTTTTCCAAAATTCCACTCTTCTGACATTGCTCCCAAATGGTTTCACTGAAATTCAGCTAATGGTTATTAAGGAAGCTGATGCTACCTGAGGAAGAGAAACACCTTTTCAGATCAGAGCCTTCTTTTATTTCTGAATCCTGTAGTCAAACAGAAGCCAGAGGGCATGTCCTCTTAGGGCATATCTAATCATGCAACAGAACAATGGAGAAATGACAAGTGAGCTGTAATTTACTAGTAATTCCACTTGCAGAGGCTGCAGGAGAACCCTGGCTTGAGTGAGTTCAGATGCAAAAGGCACAGTGCAGCAACCCTAACTAGCATGAACACAACACTCACTGCTGTTCTGTTTCTGGGGTGACGACCACACCCTGCAGACATAGCTCTTGCTGACAAGCCAGAATGAGCAAGGCTTTGAAGGCTGAGGAACTGTTCAGAAATAAATGGTAGGCCAGAAGGTTCTGAGCTGCACGTTTACTTTTTCACATCTGGGTTTCTTTCCCTGCTAAATGAGGAGCAGGCTTCAGTTCAGCTGCGGTGAGCAGGAGGTCATTTATACAGCAGACACGACAGCAAGTCCGTTGCAGCAGCACAGGGCTCACTTGGCATGGCTAACCCTCACACACAGGATTCAAGTAAGACTAGAGAGATTTTCAGTCTCTTCTAAATAACGTTTTATTTCCTTAGTTGTTTGCAAATAGAGTTTGTTTAAACCTCCAGCTCTGGAAGCTACAGTATGCAGGTCTCTCTCAGGCTGAGGTGGGGCTTTAGCAACAACTCCAGAGATCTGAGCCTGTATGAAAGGCCAGATAACACACGATGCAGAATGGGAAGAATGAACAGGATCAATCATCATTATTTTATTTTCTGATTGCTCTGCAAAGGTTCTTGGGTAAAGAACTTTTCCTGCTGCTATGGGAGGCAATTCAAACTGGAAAACTGGCTGGACACTGGGTGGCCATTCTGAACCTGCCCTGAGCTGTGTGTCTGGTTTCTGTCTGAGCAAGCAGGAGTAAGTCATTTTGTAACAGAACTGCAGACTTTCCCTGAGAAGAACATTGAGGACAGCTTTTACAGAATGGAAAGCAGGGGAGAGGGGACAAAAGTGCCATTTGATACTGTTTTATTTGCAAGTACTTGAGAAAAGAGGGTTTAAGTTATGGCAGCTTTCCAAGAAGAAGTTGGCATATGTGCCTTGTAGGGCATTTCCAACCAACAGTTAATTCCTTCTCTTTGATATAACAAAGCTATAAAAACACAGCATTGAGGGCTTTCAAAAGCATTTTCACTGTTACTTTTCATAGTAGTATAGAGAGAAATCATCAAGTCTCATCCTCTAGCTGAATATAATTAAAGGCTCTAAAGTAGGTGTGGCAAACAGAGCTAAAAACTTTAGGAAAAAAATAGAGAAGAGTACACACTAAACTTAAATAGGGCTATTTTTCACTTTAATTACAGAAGCTGTTTCTTACATTCCTGATAAACTCCAGCTCATACAGAGACCTTTAAAAATACTATCTCCCCTGTGCTTTGCAGCAGTTCTGAAAAGAGGTGCCACATTTTCCAGCCCATAAAGAAACTATCCTCGCAAAAAACTTACAAACTGTAGGGGAGCCCACATTAGCAAAGACTATCTTGTACCTTCCTGATCTTCAAGCATAGGACAGTAATGTGTATTTCACTGCTGCCACAGGCTTAGATTCTTACACTGTTGCTTCAGCAGAGATGAACTGAAGAGAAAAACCTCCTCTGACTAGGAGAATTAAGTATGTTGCTGAGAGGTTTCAGTACCTCCTTGCTTACCAGTGGTGGTTTCAATTTAGGTACAGATAACCTGGGGGATGATGCCAATGACATTTTTATTTTTTAAGTTAAAAAGAGCCAGGAAGAGTTAAGATTTAAAACTGTACTGCTTGCATCCTATACAGACAGCTCTTATGCTGCCTTTGACTCTTAACTAAGGGACAACAGATTCAAGATCTTCCCACAGTGTATTAAATAATGGAAGAGTCTTGGATCAACGATCAGGAAAGCAAATACCAACTTTGCTCTTGTGATAAAGAGCTGATGTGGGAGCCACAGGATAAAGCTGTGAACAGCAATCTCTGTGCTGTGCTGCACACATCCTGAATCAAGGGCAGGGGCATGCTAAAGGCACAGCCTGAAGCTGCAAAACTGCCTTCCAGAGAACAGAGGCTGTGACAGGACTGGAGTGACCTGAGTCTGCAGTGGGCTGTGTTACCAGGTAATGTGCTGCAGACATGGAGACAAACTCATATCCAGGAATTATCACATGCTGCTCTCCCAGACACCTGTGTTCTAGTCACTTATGCACAAAGAAGAACACAAGTTTAAATTATAAAGCTAACTGAATTCTCTTATTCCCTACCTTTCAGAACCACATCACAACTATAAATATAAAATCCTGTAGCCCAACAGCTTTTCTGAACATCACCTTCCCAGAAGGTAAACAAAGTATGAGAGATGTATATGTGAATAATTGACTGCTCTCATACTTTTCCTCTTTCTTCAGCAGGGTGGGGGCAGCACAAGCTAAAATCCCAATTGTATTTACTCCTTGCTAGCCTTTCATGAAGTGAAAGTGGGAGAAAAAGCCAGCAGGCTTAATGCATACATCTGCTAAGCTGTAGCAAGCACAGCATGCCTGCACCTCAGCATTTGTTTAAGCCTGGTCCATCAGCAGGCTTTGCTTTTGCTCCACTCTCAAAGAACCCTCTCCTACAGAGGTTATTCACATCAGCCTTTTTGTTGATTTATAAACATCTGCATTTACCTGAGAGTTACGTTTTTTTTCCACTTTTTGGGACACAGCTTCATGCTTCATCATGAATACTACAGACAGAAAGACTTTTCTTTTTGTGAGGTAGAGGGAGATGAAAAGAAGCATCCTGGATTCAGCACCCCTAACATACAGGTTAGGCTAAAGATATTTTGGGTATTATTTTTCTGATAAAAAGTAATTTGCTATAAAAAAAACAAATTGCCAAGAAAAGAATATTACTGCCAAGAAAAAGGTTTAAATAAATACTAACCAGCACTCGTCCTCCAAAGACATAACCTTTATTTCCCAGCACAGCACATGTGTGAGCTGCTCGAGGCTGAGGTGGATCTCCACCCTGAAAGAACCAAGATAAGAACCTTCAGAACATCAAGGTGTCAGCCTCAGATGAACACACTGACAGAACTGCAGCTTTAACAGGAAGTCATTTGTAGTCACATCCAAGACTCCACAGCCATTAGAAGACAAAGGTATTTGCCAAGGGCAACTTTAATTGAGTTCCCTCAGCTGCTAATGTTTAATATGTTCCCTGTTGGTCTGATTATCAAAACTCAATGAACTTATCTTTCATTCCCTAGCATAAAATTACAGTAATACATCAGTTACTGTTGAGATCTCCTGTGGAGTTTTACTGTTCCAAAGTGTGAACCATCAGGAACTGGTACTAAAATCTCTGGGCATCAGCTCATAAAAACTGATACTATATCCAAGAGCTACATGCTAAAAAGTCTTCCCCTGCCCTGGTAAACCAGAAACAAAGGTAGCAACACTGGCTTTACTATTCACTGGTAATTTCATTTTTTGCTTTTAGTTTTACAGGAATTTTAGAATATCCTAAAAAGACTGTAAAATACTGTCAGACACTCATAATATACTTCTTGTGAGGTTTTACAAAAACTCACCAGGATTTGAGGAACCTTTCAGCATACTGTCATATTAATATCAATAAATAGAAATGCCTGCATTTCTGTTTTACTGGGAAAGGAAATACACATGCTCCTTTGGAAGAGTATCAAAACAATGTGTTTGCTGAAGAATATCTGGTCTGTTTACTCTAACAATACAGCACAACTGGGAGTTATTTTTTCAGCATGGAAAAGACTGTAGCTTTTGACAGCAACTCCATATACACAATGCTCAAAATACTGACTGTAGAACCCCTGCATACACCACGTCTCTTCACAAGGAAAAAATGAGGGCCTAAACTAGCAATGCAGTGAATTCACTCCCTCTCCCTTTGCCTTCTTTAAGCCTGTGAAAGCTGAGTGGTGAATCACAGGAGACCAGATTTCTTTGCTGTGAGGGTGGTGAGACCCTGGCCCAGGTTGCCCAGGGAAGCTGTGGCTGCCCCATCCCTGGCAGTGTTGAAGGGCAGGTTGGATGGGGCTTGGAGCAACCTGGGCTGGTGGGAGGTGGCCCTGCCCATGCAGGAGGGTTGGAACTGGATGATCTTTAAGGTCCCTCCCAACCTAAACCAGTCTGAGATTCTGTGATTCTTTCAGCCCAGTATATGATCTTTCACACCGATCTATTTGCTTTATGAAAAAGGGGAGGCAGGGAAAAGGAAAAAAAAAAAACAAAACCCAGGCAGACCTTAATCCCTCACTCAGAGATCTGGTTTTGGTTACCCCTGTTGCAGGTGAATTACACACAGATACAATCAGCCAAAACTCAGCTCAGATAAATGGAGTTTGTTTGTTAACCTCAATTTGCACCATTAAAACCACTCACTACCCTGTGCTTTCCAAAGACCTTCACTTCATTCCAGAAGGCCTTAGCTAGGTGAGAGACAGAGCTGGCATGGTTAATGGCTGTGATCTAGCCATGGAACCCTTCCCTATCCAAAGCCTTGGTGGGGCCTACAAGGAGACCTGGAGTCAGTCCATCTCTGGAGGACACAAGCTTGTTTTTTGAGGAGCCACCACAACACCTCCACACCCCATTCCTCAGCCCCACTCTGGTACTCCTACTGAAGCATTTTCTGGAGTGTTCCAGTGCTCTGTCTTTCCCACCATGAAGCACTGACAGTAATTTTATATTCCCAACAGTTGTTTAAAGCTTGAATACCAAGCTTTATCTCTAAACTACCCCCTAGATACAGAATATTGTACCATCCAATATATCCAGGTTTTTAATACCTCTCTGAAGCTGATATTTTTTGCATGAGAGCCACATTATAGAAAAAACACATCTAGTAAAATCCTGTGGGGAAAAAAATTCACATCAGCTCTAAATTTTTTTTCACATTTCAGAGGCACCAAGTGTTCTGTTTAATGTTATAAGCCTGAGCACTACTAAGCATATTCAAATTACTTTCTGCAACATCGATTTCTAGAGCACAAAACCCACTCAAAATGCAGTCAAATCACAATTGTGTCAAAAGACAAGACTAAAAACCACTCACTCTAATTGCTGGTTGAGACCAAGTTTGTGTGGTTGTATCAAAAACATGAACATCATTATGCCATCCCCAGAATATCTGTCCTTCCTAAAAAAAGAGAAGTTAAAAAGTTAAGACTGTTATTTTAAAATCTTTGTGCCTATTAAAGGATATAAACCCAAAATTGATCTACCAAAACAGAAAATAAACACAGAATTTTATTAAAAGAAATATATATTAATACTTTTAATACTGATGCAGCAACTCAGGTCTTGTTAAAGACCAACAGCTTTCAGGAATGCTAGGGCTGATGACACTTGAAAATGGGCTTTGGGCTCCAACATCACTGCAGTAGACAAATTCTACTTTCTAATTTGTAGTGTAACATACTAAGAAATGAATAGATTGTACCAAGAAATACACTTCTGTAAGTCAATATTTAACATTTGATGTAAGGATCTATGCCCCCTTGAATGCACATCTATTATTACCTCCTGTCACATTACTTCCTGTCACTACATATTCTAATCAGTTTCTTTTCTCTTAACTTTGGTAAATCAATACAGGAAACTAGCTAATCCAGACATCTTACAGTAATGGCATTTACCCTGGACAACAAATTAAAGAAATGAGCTGAAAGTACTTGCTACTTAAGACATGTGAAGCTTTAAATTCCTTATAGTTACTTCAGGGAAATAAATTCTAAAATTTTCTAGGAGTTTCCTATTTAAAATGTGCCTTCAGATTGAAAATCCTGCCTTAGTTCCTCCTGCTTTGGCAGCATTTTGTTTCAAAGCCCAGCAAGGGGCACTTGGGATACCCACAGCTCCCAACAGGCAGGAGCTGAAATTTCTCATTTCAGCAGAAGATTCTAGTTTGCA